TTTTTTGTTGTTTTTAACTTTTCTTCTTCGTCATCTTTGTCTTCTTATTATTATTGCCCTTCAATTTTGTTTCTTAGTCATCATCATCTTTTTCGTGGCTCCTCTTTATCTTCTTCGTCTTCTTCTTTGTTTTTTTTTCTATATCCGGATAAGAAGCAGTGATAATACAGATCGGCCCAGAGGAGCATTTGCACGGCATTTACAGGAAATTATCGGCAATAATAGGCGAAAGCGAGTAGAGAAACATTAAGACTTTGGTAGTAAATAGATTTCGTATTTATTTAGAATAATATTTTATTGAAACGCTCCAAGTGCTTGTGGTGCCTACGAGTATACAAATCTACACCGCATGTCTCTATACTAAAGGCTCGTGGGAGTGTGAGTTGTGGGAAGAGTGAATGCTGCTCTGTATACACGCAGTCTTAAGGCGGCAGGCAGTCTTAGACGGCTTCGTTGTCGTCACTGACCATTATCGCACTCTTCTTGGTGAGTCACGCCTATTTTGATAGCTGGTCGGATTGTTAATAAATTCTTTATAATAACTCGTCAATTTTTAGTCGTGGTGTAAACAGGAATGATGATATCCTGACGATGATGATGACCAAACAACCCTAGTCTAGCCTCGCTGACTAATTCATGTAACACGTGCAAAACACATGTTACAGTGGCGCGACTGCGCGTAACCTTGGATACGCGATGTTTGGCGATGCGTCGTTAGCATGTTCCTATATCTACACGAAGCGAACAATTAAGAATGCGCTTTTGTTTTGCGCAGCGTTATTACCTCGCTCAGTTGCAATACACGCGTGTGCGTTTAGTGTACGCGCTATTGAATTTCGCACGCTAATTTTCATTTCACCGCGCGCGACTTTTCAGGAAAAAACGACGAAGCTCTTATTAAACTTCGTAGATTCATTGTCGGGTTTCGCTGCTCGCTTCACCGATTCGAAAAATCTGCGCGCATTGTTGACATTAATTAAACTCGTGCGTGTATCTATCGATGTAGCTGCTCCCGGTCGATCCCTGCGGTCGTGCCATCCTTCCCTCGGCTTTCCGCAGCGGCGGCAGCAGTGGAGAGAAGACGCGTCTGTGTGAGCCACAGTCCGGGCTCCGATTGCAGCGTGCACCGATCGTTAGATTAATCTGTCGCCATCGACACGGCAAATGTTGGACGTGGGGTGCACATTACAACGACAAACACGGGCCGCGGCACCAGCGAGCAACCAAGCACACACGACAGCTTAAGCGCCGGCAGCCGCCAGCCGCCGGGCCGCCGCGCCGCCGCGCGCTCAAACCCCGCCGAATTCGTACACGTTCCCGCTCTCCGCGTGCGTGCGTGCGCGTGCACGCACGCCTGCAAACATGCATAGCTTCCCTCCTATCAATAACCCCCTACACACGCCCGCGCGCACATGTACGTTCACGCACGCACAAGCACACGCACGCAGACGGATACACGCGCGCCGCATACACACATACTGTATTGTAACTCCCTCCACACGGATTATAGGCGCACCGAATATAAAGCATGCATGATCAGCTTTGCTGCGACGTAAATAGCCGTGGCATTATTTCCAATCGCATAATAATCAATAAGGCAGCGAATAAAAGCAAAATTTTAAATTGTTAAAAATCTCGTATCGGTCTCGCTTGCATAATAATTAAATAAAAATGTCTATACTAATTGTATCCCCCGCGACGAAGTTGGCGGATACTATGGTTTCATGTCTCCCGCAGGCACGGCACGCCACGCCCGCCCGCCGCGCGCCGCTCGATCCGCCGCAGAGAAATTTCCCTTCCGCTCTATAATCGACGCGCTAAATTGAGCCTAGCGTGACAAAAAACTTGTATACTTACAACATTTTGGGGAGAAAAGGTGTGCAGAGTACCAAAACGCAGGTCACTGGCGACCTTTATATTTACCTATTGATGCATATTTTCGTTCCGCCTCTCTAACTGCAGCCCAGCTAAATCGACCTAGCGGCTACGCAAACTTGGTATCACTTACTAGCATGCTTGGGAGAAGGTGAGGCAGGCGATACCAAAACCAGGTCACTACGACTTATTTGAGCGCTTACCTTGACCATTGATCATATTTCGCGCATTCTGCTACTAGTACTCGGCGCTAATTGACCTAGCGCGACCAAATTTGGTATACCTTACACTGGGGAGAAGTTGTGTCGTGTACCGAAAACCTAGGCTGACTGCAAGCCTTATTTGAACATTGACCTTGAGACCTATACATCATATATTCCATTGCGCGCTCTATAACTCGGCCCTAATTGACCTAGCGTGACCAACTTTCGTATACTTACACATCTTGGGGGAGAACACGGGGATACATGTAGTTATGCGACAACTGCCGCTTTCATAAGTTATAAATGGTGCTAAGGCTACGATAAATAATATACTAAATAATTAGAACGTATACGGAATATAGGGGTATATACATTAGTAATAATATATAATTATGCATAAACATATGGAAGCGCCATACCTAATACTATAAGCATCGCCATACCATGGCTGTGGCCATACCACTGCACCACACCACACCCAGCACCCACACGCGCACACCAACACCACACCAACCACACCACAGCCGACACGCAAGCACGCACACCACACCCACCACAACACCACAGCCACACCAGCACGCCACACCACAGCACACCACACCACAACCGCAACGGACGCACGCCGCGCGCGGCGCGCGACATCGTTCACACACACAGAAAACACACACACACACACACACACCACACGCACAAGCACACACAGTCACACACACACAAACACAACCACACAGGCCACAGCACACAGCACACACACACACACATATATGATATATATATAAATATATATTATAATATATATATATAATATATATATATAATAGGATAGATAGATAGATAGATGTTTATTTATTTATTTATTTATTTATTTTATTTATTTATTTATTTATTCAGCTACAACATGCTAGTGTGACATTACATTAATAGGGTTCGTCTGCGTACCGCGAACGTGGCGATAGCAATTCCTCATCACAACGCACANGCGTGGACTGTGTATGCGTGTGCGCGCGTGCACTGTGTGTGCGTGCGTGCGCGCGTGCACTGTATGTGCGTGCGTGCTCGCGTGTACTGTGTGAGTGCTCGTTCGCTCGCGCCTCTTTGCTTCGTAACCATGGCGACTGGCGGTCGCATTTTTTTGGCTGTCACATCATTTTGGTGTTCCCGTCAGCCCGCCTACCCGCGTGCCCGCCTGCCCGCGTGCGGCCATTTCTCACACAGACGCGTGTGTCATTCGTCTCTCTACCTCCTTATTCACCTCGCTATTCCATCTATATCTCGCTATGCTATATCCAGCCCGCGTCGCCTGCCCAGCTCTCTATATTATATAGTTTATAGATACGGCGATCGTTTTCGCGTTCTCTCGCCCATTCGTCGCTGCTTCCTTCTCCTCCGCCTCCTCCGTCTCCCCCTTCTCTCATCTCTCATTCTTCCGTTGAAAATTCGCGCCGTGGCGGACACATGCATCTGTTGCGACTGCTGAGCGAAGAATGGAGATTGAGACTGAGAAAGATTACGCGACTAGAGACATACCGACAGACGGTCAGACGGACGAACGGCCGGACGGACGGAGGGACGGACGAACAAACAGACGGACGAACGGCCGGACGGACGGAGGGACGGACGAACGGACGTACGGACAGACGGACACACAGACAGAGATGAACAGACAGATAGGGAGACAGACAAAACCGACACACAGAAAGAGAGAGAGAGCGAGACGGGGAGAGAGAGAGAGAGAGAGAGAGAGAGAGAGAGAGAGAGAGAGAGAGAGAGAGAGA